TAAGAATTTTCTCCGTGGTTCAGTACACTTAAAGTTATAGAAATACATTTATTTATACAGTATACTATATAAGGTGCACGCTATTTCGGGACGCGCATGGGCGTTATTTTGAAGCCAAGTATATTATTTTAAGGGAATGCGATTTTCAAAATAATGCCCATGTGTGCTATTCTGCGGTAATACGGTATACCTAAAATACATAAACAGGCAGTATAGAAATCTAATTTCCAGACTCTTTCCTTAAGTTCAAGGGCTCGTTTATATAGGTATGTCAAAATCATTAGAGCCATCTGAACATTTTTTGTAGTTTCAGTCGTAGCGACAGTAGCAGTATCATTCGATTTCTCACCGCCTTTCTTTTCTTGATTACCATCTGATATCTTGATTTTTTTTTGAATTAAATTTGAAATTTCTATTGAGATGGCCTGTTTCGATTGCAATCAAATTTTACAAAAGGCCGATTATTGATTTAAATTTTGAAATTTAAACTCTCACTTCAAAGTATATCAACGCCACAGTGTTGTCATGACATGAATTTGGACATTTTTGGACGTTCTGGCAAAAAAAAAAAACAATAAATAAATAAAAATAAAAAAACAACACTATTATATAAATGCTAAATTTATAGGTCTATATCTCAAACACCAAATAATTAATGCTTGATGTCTTAAGTAAAAATGATCAAAGCTCTAAAAATCTTATTTAAAAATTAGGCTATTATAATTAGTCCTATATTGGCTTATATCTGTACCCTAAATTTTAGCAGTAAAACTATACAGTCAACCCTCTCTAAGTGCAACCTCTCTAAATGCAACTTTCCTCTGAAAGCAACTTTAATTTCAGGCCCAAGTAAAATTAAAATTGATGGTTCCCTATTTTAATTCTATTCCTTGAACAACTTTTGTGGGACTATTGTTGTTAGGTGAAACCATTGTTGGCAAATGGCGAAAGACGAAACTAAACACGGTGAAAGACAAAACCTGGCGAGACCCTTGGTAAAGGTGAAATCCTAAAGAAAGTCAAACTTGGCAAAGATCAAATCCTCTAAGGCTTTGGAAAGGACTGAGTCACATTAGTAAATATTTTAGCATGACTATTAAGCACAGCATGTGGCTTATATAAAAAAAAGTACAAAAGCAACAAATGTCGCGGATCATTATAAAAGTCGAGCTTTTATTTAACATTCTGAAGCCACTTGTACTTGTTTATTCAAAGTCTATCCCTAAAGTTAACCCTAACTCTAAAAAAAAAAAATCTAAAAAAACGCACCAAAAAATTTTGTATTTTTCGATGGATTGTCTAATTTACTTTATCTGATTTCATTTTAATCTGACATTTTTTTTGTTTGAGCGTCCAAAAATGTTCAAATTCATGTTATTACAACACTGTGGCATGGATGTTGTATGTACTTACAGTACTAGGGTGTGACATAAACAAGTAATCAAAACTCAATAGGAAGACTTTCGTATGATTTGCTGTTTAAATCAATTTAATTTTACATTATTTATACAGTTTAAAGTTCTTTTTTTAAAAAAATAAAACTACGAAAAGGCTTCAAATTCATAACACGATCCAACTTTCCGTATTCCAAAAACATAACCCATATTAGCACTTTTTTGATAATATTCGAATGCTTTTTGTTTATCTATTTTGACTCTGATTCTAAATTGATAACATATTCCAATCTTAAATATTCCCGTAGTATCAATCATATTAGCAGCTTTTTGATATTATTCGAATGTCATTTGCTCATCTTTTTCAACTCCAATTCAAAATCGATAACATTCTCCTAAAGCACATAAGTGACCCAATTAGCAGCCTTTCTAAAATATTCAAAGGCGTTTTTTCTATCTATTCCAATATAATCACTATCTGTATATTTTCGTCCAAGTTGATAAAGTTCTTCAGCATTTTGATTCATTGTTATTTATTTAATAAGTAAAAAAAAGTATAAAACTTTTATTATAGTTGCTTAAACCAAGTTGGTTAATTGATTATTAATTTAGTGATAATTTCCTTAGTAGTTGGCCATTTTTCTGGATTTGAATCTATGCATCGATTTGCTAATTCAACATAATAATCAGGAGTTCCAAATCCAAATTTTGGTCGCAATCCTTGACAAATCATAATCACAAGATCTCTATCAAATTCATGACTATCAAAAGGTCTCTTTCCAGTTATTTCTATCATGATGATTCTAAATGAATAAATATCTGTTGCTTAAGTGTACGCTTCTCTTTGAAAAAGTTCAGGAGCGATGTAAGGCAAAACACCATGAACTTGATCTTCATGTTCTTTCTTATAAAGTGGGTTTGATAAACCTAGATCGGTAATATATGCTTAGTAATCTTCTTTTAACAAGATATTTCCCGGATGTAAATCTCGATGTAAATATCTTTTATCATGAATACGATCAAGGTTAGATATAATATCATGAAGTATTTATAATTTAATTTTCCATTCAAACTTAAAGATATCAGAAAGATTTTTGCTTAATAATCCATATTTTGGTAGAGCGTTACTAAAATATAATCGCCCGTCTTTTCGTCTCTTGATATTCCTAGATATTGTTCTAAGCTATGACAAGCTTTTAACTAAAAAAACAAAATAAATTATTATATTTAAATTATTTAAATAAAATAAACATTATTGTTATTGACGGCTATACTATTTTCTCATATTCGTATATTTATGTCATCAATTTAAACTTTTCATCTTTTTTTAGAATGTAGAGATTGAAATTTCGAGCATCGAAATAAGCTTTCATTCACTGAGTTTTTAATTCGGTTATAATAGAGCATCAGTGAAAATTTGTTTTGATAATGATAACATAATAATACATTTTTTGATTGAAGTTTAACTGTGTTTTTATAATGATAACATTATTAAATTATATATTAAAAATGTATTAAAAATGTAGTGATAGCAGTACAATTTATAAATGACACTAAATTTAAGCTACAAAAAAAAAAGATGATAAAACAGTGATAACATAAAATGAGAGCAGTCGTCAATATCATGGCTGCATAATAATAAAAAAATACCTCTTTTAAGAATGGATCTTTATTAGATATGGGAAAAATGCGCATTTTATAATAACATGCGCACGTTATATAAAATGCGCATGATATCACATGATATAATTTTTTTTGATTTTATATTTTTCCTCCGGTAAATATCGGATATTTGCCAAAGCTTTTACCCCGACCCTTCTCATCTTTACGTTCATTCATTTTCTTTTCAGAATTTTTCAAAACTTCTGCATTCCAATTTCTTAATTTTGCCTGGCATTACACACCCTGGCCTAAATTAAATAATTATTCTATATAAAATTTAGATGGAATAAAATGCGCATGATTGCGCATTAATGCGCACAATTGAGGAATCATGCGCACGCATGAAACCCATCTCTAATCTTTATCCTTATTAGAATCTTTTACGACCTTGATTGCTACTTCTTCATATGACTCTAATTGATTTAAATATTTTGTTCTAAAAACTGTAGAAAATGCTCCTTTACCTATTTCTAAGATATTTTCAAATTTATCATATGCCATCCAATGAAAATATTCTTTTTTTCTATTAACAGCAATAGCTTGTTCAGTGATAGCAGATTTTAAATACCATTCGAAAGCAATATCTATATCCTTTTCAACAACATCTCCTTTTC